ATCTAATCAAAATTGCGCAAGTTACGCCTGTCGATCTTCTTTCGAAAAAAAGTTCATTTTTTTTGCACACCACTGTAACTCTCCTAATACTAATGGTCTATTGTTAGCAATATTCATGCTAATTTGTGGATATAATTAGCAAATTTAACCGCAGACAGTAGAAATTAGTCATCTTTAAAAGCGAGAAGAGAGGAAGTTTATGAATAAAAAAGATGAAAATGTCTGGTTAAAAATATTCATTTATACAATACATGAATCATAGATAAACGCGAAAACCAAAAACCCGACAGACGTATTAAAGAAGTCGGTCATAGTGGTTCATTAGAATTATTTGCGATTTATCATCCCTATGCGCCGTAGTAGATAGTTAGAGTAGACATAATTTATCATTCGTACAAAAAAAAAGGGCCAAAAGGGGGGCGAGCGACAATTAATCGAAACTCAATACCCGTTTAGTAATAGTTGATTTTATGTTTTGACTGTTATCCTATCCCCTTTACAGCAGATGCTATATCCGACCAAAGAAGAGAGCATAACTCTTCGTAAATTGGGCTGGTAGCCACGATTGGGAAAAAAATCTCGACGGTCATTTAATTAGATAAACTGGGTAAAGGAAGAATATGTAGAGACAAGCAATACATAATGATTATTTGTTACTAATCGATTGTCATAAACTCGAAATGGTCTTGCTTTTTCAGGAGTTCCAACGCTTATAAAACTTACATGTTTGTTAACCATAACTGTTGTCGAGGTGTATACTAAAAATTGACACATAATACTAAGTACGATTTAAATTTCGATATTCCGATTCGCTTGATTCTTCCAAAGGCACAACAACCAAGAATCCAATTCTTATAACTTATATGTTTGTTAACCATAATAGAATATCAAGTACGATTTAAATTTCAATATTCCGATTCGCTTGATTCTTCCAAAGACGCAAAATCGATTTTGTCATAATCCGGAATAGCGCAACAACCAATGCTCATATAACTTACATGTTTGTCGAGGTGTATACCAAAAAATATTAAATTTCGGGAAGATAAATCTTTGCAGACGACTTAAATTTCGATATACCGATATTTGAAAACGCAAAATCGATTTTCGTCACAATCCGGAATAGCGTAACAACCAAGAATCCAATGCTCATATAACTAACATGTTTGTTAATTGCAGTTATCGTTAACGTGTGTTAATATTATTAAATTGTCACGGCTGATGCTGAAACCATGACCTTTCATTGGTTGATCAGCTTTTCAGCATCAGTTGTTAATGTAAAATCATCACGCGTTTGTACGACTTGATCTCACTCCTTATATATGTATGTTTTACCTCTCACGTTTTTTTTTTCTCTTGATGTTTTGACTGTATTCCGTGGTGAGGTACTTCCAAGGGATTTCATGAGTGTGAGCTTGCTGCAGAGTTGCCGCCATGTATCGGAAGTTATAGTTTCTCAGCTTGCAATGATAACTGTATTCCGTGGTGAACAGTTCTGAACCACCCAAGGGATTAAGTTCCGTAGGTCATGAGTCTTAACATTATGCTTTTGTCCCTTTTTATTGCTATCCACCAGGCTAAGAAGGTCGTTGTTGATCAATCCATAAATAGATATATTATGGGTTGTGTGATATAAAAGAATGAAAAAAAATTCATTTTTTTTTGCGACTGGTTACTCTTTAACGTATTTTAACGTATCCAAAGAACACGCGATGTTATAAAAATGAATGAACTGCGCGTCGCATGCTTACTATTATCACTATGACAATAACAACAAGAAGTAGAAGCGGAAAGGCTCCACGTCGTCCTCAAGAGACGCCGCTACTACTACCACGTCTGCCGCTGCTAATACCACGTCGTCCGCCACGTCCGCCGCTGCTAATACCACTATTACGGTTTGACGATCTTCACACCAAAAAAATGGATATTTTATGTCAGACTGGCCAAGGAAAATCAACACAGTCCAGTACCATTACCTCGTCGCATAGGAAGTGACTCCCGACCTGGCGCCCGAGTCATCAGTATCAACCCAACATTGTGACGAAACAAGTCTTTATTGGAAGACGCGGAGGTCCATCGCCATCCACGGTCCACCTCTCCGCCAACAAACTTTCACTTTGATGTCTACATACCAAAAAATAACCCTGACTGGTTCGTAGTTGATGACATCCTTGAATTAGCTGGCGCTGTCACGAACTAGAAGACATGCTGCTACACATAATGTGCGAATGTACGAAGACATTCGTAATTTTAACGACTATCAACCAGACCTATTACTACAGTAACGTGCAAAAGTATCCTACCGCCTGTATCACATGAACATACATAATAACAACCCCTTAAATTTTCCTGA